TAAAGCCATCATTCGATCCACGACCGCTGGAATTTGATCACTTGGGATCTCGTTGTTTAAATAGTATTGCTCGAAATCCTGTAGATTGGTAAACTGATCCATTTCGAAATTTTCAAGTTGAAGACCTTGCTCGGATGAAAAGTGGACGCCTTCACCAAGCTCGTCTAATTTTATAGACTTTTTTCATTCTACAAACAATGAAACTTGCCTAGACATGCTGGGTTGGGCAATCGCTACTCCACCCTCTTCATAGGCTATATATTTGACACAAAACACGTGCACAAACATCTCACACCCAATATTTGTATAGCTTTTGCCGAGTCACGATGTCTTGACTGTTCTATTCCCGCCTTTTGGCGTAGAAGCTATCAAAATGATAATTTTCTTAACACTCGCTCCCGCCATTTCGATAATCTATGAAAATGTTATGACATTGACGTCATTTCCTATCAGTTCGAGACCAATCAGGACGGCGAACGGGTCAGGCGCAGTGCAAATAAACTTTCACGTCATTTCCTGCTGATCGTATCGACCAATCAGAATCGTCACGCTCAGGCGCGATGCAAATAAACTTTCGCGTCATTTCCTGATTATCGTATCGACCAATCAGATCGACTTCCGCCTTAGGATCCTAGCCACGGGTGACGTCAGTGGAGGCCGAGAAAAGGGGCTAATTCCATGCTTAATACACTACTATCGTTTATATCTCACTTTCCAAAAAATGTGCATGCGCTAAAATATGGATTATGCCAGAGCCCTCGTTCTTCGCCGCAGGCCAGAAGAAACGCAGTCTCTGGGTACGAGATTGAAATGTCATCAGGTTAAGCGAAAGGCAGATATGACCGATATTTGAAGTCGATAACGATGGTCCCTCTCTCTTCATTCTGAAGCTTTTTTAAAGCAAAGAATACAAACATTACGATGCTAAGTAAAGGGTAGGATGAGTGGCGTACGCTGCTACATGTAACGCGACGTTTATCCCCACTGTGGTTCCAAAGGTTCGTTCACTGGTTCACTGCGGACACCATATCATGTCAATTGATTTTGTTTGATGTGTTGTTCTCGCTACGAGGGTTTCCTCTCTGGTCTCCTTGATATGCAACATATATCCAACATATGAGTTGAGCGTTGTGGGCACAGAACATTGAATGTAGTGGTAGTGATAGTGTGTGTGAGTGAAAAGTGTGGGTGGCCTAGCGGCAAGCTCTCTCGGCTCTTACAAATGCGATGACTCGGGTTCGAACCTCTCTTCGAGGGTTTTTCTCCGAGTTCTCTGGTTTTCCTCCCTCAGCCGCAACAATATAGGTAGGCTGGGCACCCACGACGGCATGTTCTAGTTACAGTGGACCCTCTTAGAAGGTATTTCGTTGTAAAGATTTCAAGACTTCGCTTAGCCTCCTCCGCAGGCAACTCTATAAACTCTCACATACTATATCTCTCTAGAGAGCGGGCTTCCTTTTCCAGCGAAAACCTGCTTTTGTTTCTTCGTTCCCAGGCTCCGGCTCATTAATAGCTAGAGAAACTAGAGAAAGCTACAGAGATGCCTGCGGAGGAGGCTAACGCAGGCTAATATCATAAAATAAGAATTCAATCCAGCTGATCTCAAATAGTGACGTAGAAATGACGTCACTGCAAAACCGGCTGAGGTGTCAGGAAGCCTGTGAAAACTGACCAGCGAAAATTAAAAACATGCCCGCCATTGCATTAAAGACATATAACTCATTCATTTTTGGGTCACTGTTGTCAAGGGTGTGTTTTGAGTGTTATTTTACTTCATTCGATCGGTGGCCTGGAAATCCATAATTTCATGAAGGAAAATTGACACCTCAGTTTTGCAAATTTTTTACGATTCTGATCAATCTCGTACCCAGAGCCTTATTTCTTACTGCGCATGGTCGACGACCAATTATTTCGTCAAGCATGCGCAGTAAGAAATAAGGGCTGTGGGTACGAGATTGGATTCTGATTGTCTAACATCTTTTCTTAGATCAGCTGCATGGAGTTTTATTACTTTGACTTCTTATCCTCACAAATACAAGCATTATCAGGGAGATCGATTATTACAAGTTATTTGCTCCTATTAAAGTTTTTCCTGAAATTAAAGACAGCTTCGTAGCCGTTCGTAGACGTAGCCGTTTGACCAGCAGTTGTCTTAAAATAAACACTAGAAATGAAAAGAATACGTCCCTCGACATTAGCGCCGGTAGTTATATTGACTGATATTAGCATATAAAAAGCAAAGTTTTACAGGCAATAAAAACTGGCACAGGAAAAATAATTCTCTTGCGAAGAGATAACTAGCTAAAAACTAGTGTGAGCTGCGTCGGTGTTTCTAATGAAACTGTAATGATTACTCCGACGAAGGACTAGCGTCCGAAACGTCAGGTTTTTTTCATCTTTTCACGGTGTAAAATTTACCTTTTTATCATTACTCTTCTCTTGCGAATGATTGCAAACCACATATTCCCGAGCCAGCTGGAATTATAGAATATTGATAACATTTTCTGTTTTTGCGTTTGCAGATTGCTCTTAATTACCCTCATGGAAGTCATAATTGTTTTCAATCAAAATTTCATGGAATTAACTGAGCTTCAGGAGGTTTTCGATAAAATTTTAGTGTTCGAGTTTCCATTCGTATTGCAGTAAAACAAACCTAGCTAAATCAATATATATTTTGTTCAAAGATTATTATATGTTGGACCTGACCACAGGCAGCCCAAACAAGGTTCCTGTGTATAGTTTACAAGGGAATGTAAGGGAGTTATGATAAAGTTACGAAAATAAAATGTTTCACTCAATAATTTGCCTCAAAACTTGCTGCAGTTGTTGCTTTTACTTTGTTCAGTCTTCTGGCGAAGTTTCAGCGCGATTTGAGGCCGTTTAGTGGGTTTTTCAAAATCCGCTTTTCTCTACCTATTTAGATACAGATCAAACAGATCAAACAGATCAAACCCTGAATTAACAACCTCTGGACTGATCTAAGTCAGGGCATGGCTAACCCACAGATCCAACCCTGAAACAACCTCTGGGCAGATCTAAGTCAGGGCACGGCTAACTCACAGATCAAACCCTGAAACAACCTCTGGGCTGATCTAAGTCAGGACAAAAACTAGCTCACAGATTGAACTGGGACAACTGGAATACGATCGACCACAGCAAAATACGACATAGCGCTAATTGTCGATAATTACTGAATAAATGACCAATTGCAATAATTGTAAGTTTTTAGCGATAAAAAGTATGAAATAAAACCATGGGAAAATAAATAATGTTAAACTAGACAAAATAAAATCTGCCTCTCTCATTTTAGACCATGTCGATCCAGAACAATATCAACTTTATCCATTTTTTAAAATATATATAATTTTCTTTATGAATTAAAAGTAACAGGATTTTCTCTATCATTTTCGAAATTTAATTAAGCCAGCACATTCAATTCGTACTGAAAAGTTGTCCCAAAAGTGCAATTAAGGTCTAAATATATTTACCAATTTCTTAATCTTATCGATTATGTTATCTATTGTAATCGAGGAATATCCGGTGGATCCAAGCGGGCAGTCTATTCATTCTTTAACTCAAGATTCGCAAACGAAGTAATAAGATTGAAAACCATGGTTACACTGTTGTTGTTACCTGGGATACTGTAATAAAAGAAATGAACCACTCTAAAAAGAAAAAAAACTGTACTTCAAACAAACTGGGCACTGCATACACCTGAGGATCTGAAGAACAAGGAACGCTTCACTAACTTGGCAGAAAAAAATTAAGGTTTGTGATAGAAAAACTAAGTATAAATCGACTCATTTTGGAAGAAAAAAAGAGCGAGTGATTTTTCATTCAAGGTTCGTTCCTAGTCATAAACGTTTTTTTCGTTTTTCACCCTAGATCTCGGAGTTATTTCGAACTCTCTCGCTTCAACAGCGAGTTTACTCTGTTACCTCGTAGGAAGGAAAACGAAAAAATACTCCTAAAAGGCAATAAATTGCTATACGATCTAAAGTACGAAAAAATTTAAGTTTGTATCAATTTTTACTTAAATTCAGTTTTCGCTTGTACTGCACACGCATAAACTTTATCCGCATTTTTGACTCTGCTGAGATCGTATTTCTTATGCAACCTAAACAAACACAGACGGTGCAGGCAGATATCTTGTAATACTAACAAAAAATGTAAAGTTTAACACGTTATCCGTCTTTCGGCATTTTATTCCCATTTTTATTAGCGTTTTTATTCCATGTTTATGTATATGTATACATATGTATTTCTTTCCTTTTTTCCTTTACTTGGTTGTGTTTAGCAGGTCAGGTTGCAAAAGATATACAGTCTTAAAGCAAAATGCTAAAAACCTTATCCTATTTTCATCACTCTTTTTAGGCAAAAACAACTTCAATGGCTTTTTAATACTCCGAATTTTTTTTGATGTCGTAACTGCAGTAAAATAATAAGCTCAAAAATTAACATTACCACGTCATATTCCAGTTAATAACGGTAGTAGAAAAGGACAAACAGCTAGTTCAACAAGCACTTATTCGTCACAGTTTTGATTTTGAATGTTTTTGCAGACTCTATATCAATATAACACAGTAACCAAGTAACTCAATAGCTTCTGACGTGATGGCGAAGAAACAGCTTCCATATTGCTAAAATGATACAAAGGCGATTATTTTAAGATCGGAAATAAGAATAATTAAGCGTAATAATCCCGGCAATTTATCGATTTTTAAAGCACACATTTTGGTCAGTATACGAGAAATTTGAATTCCAGCCATAAAGCTGAAGTGTCAAATTGAAGTGACAAAACCCCTGTTCCTTGTAAAGTTAACGCTAAACAGCTTATTGATAAGTTATTGGTAATGTGTTTTAGTGATTAGATGTAAGCCGGGTTATTCGTAGTTAATTTTTAGATCTGCACGAGTTTTAAGAAAACAATTAAATGTCAGTGAGAAGCGAGTTGAAATCATTATCGCTGTTATCGGTGAGCCCTACCTGCTGTACGCATGATAACTCCTGCTGATATGGTTTTACGAGAATTACTGTTTGGTTCCGGCAGAAAGTGCCAAAGTCATGATAAATATTTCTTCAAAACATTTCATTGAGCTGATTCGAAAATTAGTATTAGTGTTATTATTACAGTCAAGACGGCTCTAGCTTACCCCCCTAGGTTCCAATAATGCTTTCTTCATTCGAATATTAAAATGCACTATTCTTTCTGAAAATACCGAGACTCAAGATTCAAATAATGACCGATTCAAAACTCGAATTCTGATTGGATTATGGTGTTCAAATAACACTGAACCACATTCGTCTTTATATGATAATAAATTTTAGGTTTGAAAAAGTTTGGGTAGTTTCCGGAAATCACATAAACTACCCTGGATAAAACCCTGATTCCTTATATGGAGTAACCCAATCAGAATACGAGTTTTGAATCGCTAATTATTTCGAATCGCACGTCTTCGTATTTTCGAAAAGAATAATAAATTTCAATATTCGAATAATGAAATCATTAATGGGATCTAGGGAGGTAAGGTTGGGCCGTTTTGACTGTAAGCTGATTTAGCGACTTTTTAAAATCCCTTTCTGGTACTTTTGTATTTCTTTATTCATTTCACTTGGTTTCGTTGTATATTTGTTGCTTTGGTATGATTTTTGGTTAGAGCTGTGCTTGGGGGTCATGCATGGATTGTATAGAACTTAACGGGTTCTTTAATTTCTCTGCAGGCTTTTCGAATGCACGATATGTTCGTGTGTGTAGTCTTGTGTTGTCGGGTAGCATGGGTGGCGTTCGCGGCTAACGCGTCGTCTTTTACCGCTGTGTGTCCAACGGGTCGGGTCGCTGGTTCGAGCCCTGCGTTTTTCTCTCCTATGCTACGAGGGTTTTCTCCGGTTTCCTCGATCTTTCCATAAAAATCAACATGCGAGTTCAGTATTGTATGTTGTAAATATTGAATGTAGTGGTAGTGCGTGTGGAGGGAACCTCACGGAAGAGCCCCGTGGGGAGTCGTGGTTGTAAAATATTATTATTATTTATTATTATTATTATTTTGTCATGTAATGTGGTGTGATGTGTTGTGTTGTGATGCGATGTCGTGATGTGGTTCGACTGTAAGAAAACAAAAAGGAAGTCTTATGATATGACCAACAAAAAGGCCAGAAAAATATAGACTAAATGCTATACTTACTCAACTGGAATGATTACAAAACGTCTGGCCCAAAAGGGGTTTGGCCCGCAATGCCTCATCTGTGCATAACAATATAGCAACAGACTGTATAGCGTCTGCCAGAGACGCATTCATATTGCTTTCAGTTCGACCCCATTGAGCTGCGCCACTTCTGTACTTGCGGTTGTGGCTAGCGATAACAAGTTGTTTTGTTTGTTTGTTGTTTATTAGATGAGCACTCATTCGTACGTTCTCGTTTTAACCCTGTTTTTGGCCTTGTGCGCGGTAAATGGACACGGAAAACTATTGACAGGGACCTGTGTGAAGGCAAAGATGGCCGCTTGTAATAACGTCGTCAAAAAGGTTTTTATGAATGCGGCTGCAGATACTCAAGAGTTACGAGTATACTGCAATGCTATGAAGGTCAGTACACCTCTTTAGCAAATTGTGTCTCATCTTAGACCAATTGTATTCCCTACTAGGAGTCTATATACAATCGTTAACGAAGATAGAAGCGAGTCATCAACAGTATTACAGTCTCAATACTTTAATTTCGAGGTGTGATACTGTACAAAGTATAGCGGGTGGGGATGACGGCGAGGCAATTTGGGACAAAAATGTAAGGCAAGCAAATTATTTCAATTTTCCGAAAGCTCATCAAATCTTTAAAAAAACAAAAAAACTTCAGCACGCGCAGTTTCATCATCGCGACAATCCTACGTTTTGGTGGACGTCAATCAAAGCGTTTCCATGACATTCCATAAGCACGTCAGTGTTTGACCAGCATTAGGAACAGATAATGTGACTTTTATCATCTGATTGAAACCCAGCAATTGGAAAAAAAAGAACAAGAGGAGATCCGAGATAACAAGGCAATAGACTTAGTTCATCTTGGTGCGATGTTTATCCATTTCAGACCACGTGTCATTCCCTGAAGAATAAGATTCTTTGAGTTGTATCCATATCCATGTGTCTTCTCGCGCAATAGTTAAACAAAGGAATGATACTCAAGGGAATGACACGTGGTCTGTGCATGAAATGGGGAAACATTGCACCAAGGCGAATCAGGTGGAAAGACCCCTTATACATTCATTTTATAGAAGAATTGTTCTGGGGGACAAAAAAATAGGCCGTCTTTTCTTATGCAAAAAAATCCGTTGTTTTGTCCCCATGCAGAACAATTCCTTTCGAGACTCAGTGCAAGAGGTCTAAAAATATTTATATTTTGGTAGGCGCTCTTCTTGTGTGTTAAAAACCAACTTGGAGACACCCAAAACCCATGTCGATCCGACACACTGAGGAAGTACCATTTTATCGTGTTAGCGTATCTTGGAATGGACAAGATTATGGGCACGTGTACTCAAGATGTCAGTGAAATCAAAGCAAAAATACTGGATGACTGTAAGTCAATAGCACCGCTTATGTGTGTATAAACCTCTTGCGAAATTCACCGATCCCGGCTATATTTTAGTGTCCAACCAAATAATGGGTAGTTCTCCCAATGGAATAAAGAATGTCCGAGCAACAAACTCGAATTCATAAGATATTTTAGTAGTTATCGATTTTTTCTCACTGTACCTTTAGAATGTATTGATTCTAAGACAGACATTTAGAACTTTCAGCAATCGGTGTCTGTTCCATGATGTTTTTAAAAGGCACATTTTAGCTTGTTCGACGAAGCAACAGTAACTAGGGAGGCAGAACAATGAATGCGGGATCGGTGTATCCAACAGGAAAAAAGCGCAGGCAAAAGTAAATTTTGGAAAAATTTCATAGCATAATGCAGGCTTCGTATTCCGTGTATATAAGTACAATATAAGTAGAATGAGTGAAGACTAATGCATTAACTATTGTTGTCAACCATTTCTGATTGTTTTCACAGTGGCTCCAGACTCAATCGAGATCGCCGAAGATTTTGTCGAAGAAGCTTTTGAAGGTAATTTTAAAACGCAAATATATTTTACTATTTACTTTTCTTCAATTTCTTTTATTGTTTTCTCTTTTCGTCCCTTCCCCGGCTTCCCATTCTATTCTCGCTTTCCTTCCATTCCATTCCATTCCTGGCCATTCCACTCCACTCCACTCCACTCCACTCCACGCCATCCCATTTTCTTATCTTTTCCTTCCAATTCTTCTTCTAGACAATCCAAAAGTCTCAGAATGTGCCAAGGCTGCCCACCACCAGTGTGTCAAAATATTCACCGGGCTGGAGAAACAATCCGATAACCTGTGTTTTGGAGTGAGAGACTTCATTAGGTGCTACCAGGTGAAAAAGTGTGTCACTGACAAAATCAGTGTATCTTTCGCAAGGCTCATCTCTAAAATGAGTGACGAGTTGATCAACGCATTTGAAGCCAATTCTATGTGCGTGGTCGAGAAAGAGCTTTAGTAGTGAAAATCGATTGTATTCCTGAACCATTCCTATATAGTACAGTAGCCTTAAAGTAGTTTTTTATTCAGGGCGCATTAGCATCATTCCTGCATGCAACGTGCAACGTGCAACACGCAACACGCAACACGCAACATGCAACACGCAACACGCAACAAGACCTTCACCAACCTTTTTTGAAGCTTTGGCTTACAGAACAGAACGAAGGCTAGAAACAAAAAAACAAAAAAAAAACAAAAAAACAAAAAAAACAACAACTATGCGTCCTGAATAAAAATAGTGTGTCAATGCTGTCAATATATTGTATGATCATCAGGAAATCAGTAAAATAAAGAGTATAGACAAAAGACAATTTAGTTGTAATGTTGTTTTGAAGTCCTGGTCAAGAAATAAAAGCCCAGTTGATCTATTCAGGTGTCATGCCAGTACCTTTCCCATGCTGTGAGCAAAACGTTAATAGAATTCAGAAAAAAATGCTGTTGACGAGGCCTACGCGACTGGATCAAAAGGTAGTATTAAGGTAGTCTCCCTAGCAGCCGTTTTAGTCTCGTTCCATTGCATGCGCAATTAAAACATAATCAATGAAAATCATGCTTTCAAACAGAGGTTTGTGTTCACTTCCGATCAAAATAAAAATTAGAAATCGGGAACATATTTTTTTATTTTCGGCAAGTCTTTGAACGCATGCGCTCTTATCCGGAAGTCCGAGAAATTCTTGTTTAAACAAATGGATTACGCCAAAGCCTTCGTTCTTCGCCGCAGGCCAGAAGGAACGCAGGCTCTGTGTACGAGATTGAAGACAGCTGAGAGGGAGAATAGTCAAAAAGGAGTATGGGTAGCAATCATTGAAGTCTGCATGATTAGAATAAGTAAACAATATTCGACCAATTTTCATCAAAAACCGGCCAGTTTAAAAACTCCTTCCATGGGAAAATCGACTCCTGATTGGAAAACTCTAAGCAAACTTGAAAGCTTTAGAAAACGTTTTATTACAGTAATTTCATAACATGCACATGTTTTCGTACGAATTTTCGAATTAGGAAATACTTTTCACGTGGTTCTACCGAGACTTTGGTCCATGCTTTTATAGTGAGTAAACTTGATTACTGTAATAGTTTATTGTATGGGCTTCCTGATATTCATGTAAATAAGTTACAAAGAGTGCAAAATTCTGCTGCCAGGGTTATTGTAGGACTTCCTCGTTTTTGCCACATCACACCAGTTCTTTTTGATTTACACTGGTTACCTATTAGATATCGTATTCATTTTAAGATACTACTGTTAACATTTAAATGTTTACGTGGGCTAGCACCACAATATTTGTCTGATTTGGTTTCAGTAAGTAAGGTTTCTRGGTATAACCTCCGGAATCATAAGGGCACTCTGCTACATCCAGCTAGTGGGAAATGTAAAAAAAACTTTAGGTGACAGGGCTTTTCAATCTGCGGCCCCTAAACTGTGGAACGGTCTTCCTGTTGAAATCAGGAATGAACTGTGTATCAGGAAATTTAAGTCACTTGTTAAGACATACCTTTTTAAATTAGCTTTTACTTAGAATTTTATACATCTTTATTGCTTTTTACTATATATTTTATTTATTTCATTTATTTATATTATTATATACTATACTATATTATGTTATATCTATATTTCTTTTTATCCAATTTATTTAATTGAATGGCATAGTTAATTTCTGCGCATATGAACATATCCACATGAAATATGCGCGTTATAAATATATTATTCTTATATTATTATTATTACGTAGTCGGTGACCATGACTAAATATTTTGTTGTTCGCAAAATCGTACATTTTTAAGAAAAACAATAACAATTATTATTAAACACATTTTAATGGCTTTAAAAAAGGTCTACATAATCAGCCGCTATGAATATATTCAGTGAATGTATTCCTTAAAACATCGGTGTCTTAAAGCGTTTGTTCATCTGGAAGTTTATATATATTTTTAGTTATATTCATTTTTGGCTTATTAGTATAGCTTTGTTTTATACAGCTTTTTCTTTTTTTATATTAATTATCCATTTGCCTTTCACATATTCACAGTTTGTTTCGATATTTTTTAATTAGCGTTTTGAAAGACACTGAAATCTTTTTTGATTGTATTTTCAAAACAAGAAAGAATGACCAGTTAAAGGAAAAGAGGACCTCCTCGTTCCTCTTCAAATAAAGGCAATCTAGATATTGATCTTTTAAAGATTATTTTTACTATAGACAAGTCGTAATTAATACATTTTTGATTCAGGTTCCAAAATGAACTCCGAGAGCCACGGCCGCGCGCTCGCAATTAAGGAAATAACACAATAATTGCTTTCGCTGTTGTACCTCAGCGTGGGACAACAACAACAAAGACAGGCCCCTTTCAAGATAAAAGCTCCAAGGATTGAATTAGAATTTAGAAGCTGATTTTTTATGTTGGGTGTAGGGAGGTAAACTTCATGGCCAGGAGAAAAACCCTCGCGAAGCACAGGAGAGAGCCAGCAGTTCTGAGCTGACATGATGATGACGCGTGTGAGTTTAGAACCGTTGCCTGCCAAGTCTATAGATCTATAATTTGAAGACGAAAACTCGGCGAGAAGATTCGTTAGTTAAGGTTGTAAAAATAGGCTATTGTTTTTCTACGATACAGGTGACTCTTATCTAAGAAAACTTTATACAACCAGATCCTAGGCAGGCAGGCACGGGTGAGAAACAAAGACTGACAAACACACCACCAGTGCGAAACATTCATTGATGGTGAATTTTCTGATTGGCGGAAAATACCTCTTTTCTCAGCAGAACGTGTTATAGTTGTCATATTTTGATATTTCAATCCCTGGTTAGTCTAGCTGTAAGTGTTTGGTCAAACCATTTTGACCGAGTAAATACTGCAAAACAACTTCAAAACAACTTCAAGGTTGATAGATTTCTAAACAGGAGAGAGAGGTTGAGAGAGAGAGAGAGAGAGAGAGAATGAGAGGTTGAGAGAGCGAAAGTCAGTAGCTAGTGATCCAAAAACCAACGAAAAGAAAAATAATCCAGTGTTTTTTGTTCCTAGATGAAGTTCTTGGTACATAATATTTTTGTCGCTGCTATCGTGGTAGTTGCAGCCCTGGAAGCTGCGAAAGTAGACGTTGATAAAGAAAACGAGTGCGCCAATGCTAAAATGGATATTTGTAACAAAAGGGTCAAGAAAGCGTTCGTCAAGGGAGGACGTATGGGACTATCGACGCGAGAGATTTACTGCTCTTCCATGAAGGTAAGTCAAAATCAACAGAATCAAAGGTGGTGTAGTTGTAATGCGTTTGCCTCTCATCTCTAAGGTCTCGGGTTGTTAAGAACAACCCATTATATAATAATAATAATAATAATAATAATAATAATAATAATAATAATAATAATAATAATAATAATAATAATAATAACTTTATTAATGTCTCTATATCTTCTAGCCGGGCACAAGTGAGCCAAGTGCCCTACTAATCGCTAAACACAATCGCAAAGTGAGCAGTAGCGCAGCTCAACGTTAGGTCGACTCTTCCTCTCTGATTCGAGGGGTTTTATCCTGATTAGGGAGAACAATTGGTTCTCCACATTTAACTTATAAACAAAATCAAAACTGTTCTTGTGTGTCCAACAATATTTGATAGACACCAAAAGATTTGTATAGAGTAAAGAACGCTTAATTGATTTTGTAGAGATATTTTCTTTTCCATTGTACTTTTTCTATATATATGTTTTTTTGCTTGCTAATATGTTATATAACTTATTTCTTTTTCCTAAAAACTCCAAAAATATTGTAATTATGTTCTGTGTAATCTCCCACGATGAGCTTAGCTCTAATTGGAGCGAACACAGAGAGTTAATATGTTTAAATAAAAATAAATAAATAAATAAAAAATTAAGAACATTTTTTGCAAGGTGCCAATATGGATTTTGTTTTTTCTTTTTAGGATCTGTCCAAATGCATTGAATCTCAGCTTCAAAGTGGAAAGCTTTGCAACTCGGACAAGCTTAGGAAGTATCATTTTGTCGTGATGGCGTACCTACGTATGGACAAACTCATGTCGACCTGCGCGGATGACATGAAAGATAAGTTCAAGGAAAAAGTGATGTCGCAATTCCTACGTAAGAAACTCTTTTCAAATATTTTAGGATGCTTAATTGTCAACATATCCTCAAGCAATTACGTTTTTAAAAAAAAAAAAAAAAAAAATTTGCAGCGCAATTATCACTGCAGAACTCAGTTTCGTTACCGTGTGAAAAAAAAAAAAAAAAAAAAAAAAAAAAAAAAAGCTCCCCCCCTCCCTCCCCACGTTAAAAAGTGCTCCGCTGTCCTTGCATTTTGACACAACCCCAACCAGCTGATCTGAGAAAACATACTAGCCAATCAGAAAAGAGAAAATTTGCAAAACTGAGGTGTCCCTTCTTCTTTTAAAATCACGTATTTCCACACCACCAAATGGAAAACAATAACTCTGCTATACGAGCTTGATAATAGTTACACAAAAATTCATGATTGTGGTGGATTGTGGTTCGATTCCCAGCGAGGTCGGAAATTAATTTTTCCGAATTTAATTCCAAGGGCTTTCGCCCGGAATAACCTCGTTCCCAAGCACTATAACTCATCTATATTTCTATATCTTCATGTATTTCATAAGTGCTATGCGGTCCACATATTCTCATCCCAACAATTAATGAGTTTTATATTTGTATTGAAATAACACTCAGGCATGTTTTTATTTTCGCTGGTCAATTTTCCCTAGTTTCATTTTACAGTGACGTCATTTATACATGCATGGCTATTTTCAGATCAGCTAGAATCAAAATTGCAGTTCTTGAAAAATTATAAACACAACCATTACTGCGGTAAAGCGAGGGAAATAGCCTTGCTACTGCAGCTAATTATGAAATCCGAATTCGATTCCCTATGCACGAACTTTTTCGAACCCGTTTTTTTCGAACCCGTTTTTTTTTTTGTATCCGCGAATTATTTTTTGCGGATACGAAAATGTTCGCGTCCACACGCAGTGTATTCGAATCGTTTTCGCCGTCCACACGTATCCGTTTTCGTAAAATTTGCAGATACGGACACAAAAATTTGCGTACACGTGTGGACGCAACCCGTATCCGCAAAAAAAATTTGCGGATACAAAAATTTCCGGATACATGTGGACGGGGCCTAAGAGGAAAAATATAAAAATTTATGCGGATTCTATTGCTTAGATACTCAATCGTGATTGGCTAATTTGTATGAAAATTTGTCTGGGTGCACGTGCCCTTGCATTGTTTGTGGCACTGTAGCTTGAATGAATGTTTTCAAATTTACAGTTGTTCCTGAGTTCGACAAGTTTCAAGAATTTCGCACTTTGGCTTTCGAAGGTGAGTTTCCTGAGTTACATAAAATGATTTTACTACCTATAGGAAACTGCTCGAAAATGTTGGCTTATATCTGATTGCACCGTTACCAAGGAACTGGTCATCTTTCACTTAGGATGGGGACGGAAGGGATGTGTTTGAGCTTTATTTCTTACTGGCATAGTCGGGTAAGGAATGCTTCGTCTTTCACCACTGGGATCCGTCGGGTTCGATGTCTGCACTCCATTCGAGTATAATTTGTTACCGAGTCTCTCTCTTGATTCGAGGGTTTTTCTCCGGGTTAGCCGTGAGTTAGCCATGCCCTGACAGTTAGGTCATCCCAGAGGCTGCTTCAGGGTTCAATCTGTGAGTTAGTCATGCCATGACTTAGATCAGCCCAGAGGTTGTTTCAGGGTTTGATCTGTGAGTTAGCCATGCCCTGACTTAGATCAGCCCAGAGGTTGCTTCAGGGTTCAATCTGTGGGTTAGCCATGACTTTATAGATCAGCCCAGAGGTCGTTTCAGAGTTAATTGAGGCTTTTTTACAGAACAACCAGCGAATGTGAATGACTGTGCTAAAAAGTCACATGACAGGTGCATCACACTATTCACCGGGATGCAACAACAAGACGAGAAAAACCTCTGCAATGGAGTCACCCACTTCATCCAATGTTACCAAACTAACAAATGTCTCACTAGCCGTCTAAGCATCACGTTTGCTGATCTAATAAGAGAAATGAGTGCTGAGTTGATAGATGCGTTCAAAGCTCATTCCATGTGCGAAGTGGATAACACTGAACTATGAAACATACGGAAAGAAACATCGAGTAATCACAGGCAGCCCAATCTCCATTTATCGTAGCCGAAAATCTGGAACTAGGAAATATTCAGCTAAATTACCTTTATGTTATTATGTTCAGCTTATTTATTTAATATCTAACGATTACTCGCCGAAGGCGTAGTGATTTCCGGTGGAATATTTATCGCGAGCCACGAAACTTCGAGCGGCGAGGTAAATATCACCATAATCTCCGAGCCTGATCAGGGGAATAATTTTTTAGTATAATTTTAGACTTGAATATCAGAGAAAAGTCGAAAGTCGGGATAAAAAAGAGTTTTAGTCAGTATTACATCCAATCTGGAAAAGTTTGGAAAAGCTCATAATCACTTCTCCAACGGTGATTACCTGTCACAGAATCACTGCATGATCGCTCGACCAATCACAGCTCGAGAAACTCTATTCAAGTTTAAAATTGTACTAAAAGTATTTATTCCCTTGAAACGCCTAAAGTGCTTATGAGCCTTTACACAATATTTTCAGAATTGATTCTTTAGATAGTGAATAGTTGATTGKGAAAATAATTCGTCAWTTGAATGTCGGGTCTTTGAGATACGATTAATCTATTCTGAAAATATTGTGTAAAGGCTTATAAGCACTTTAAATATTGTGGACCACGGCTTTATTACCTTCGTTACATCTTACTCGGTAGAAACGGAAGTTGGGCTTCCTGTGGAGCAGGTATAGCCACACGCGTCAGTATTTCCCGCCAAATAAGTTGTAAAAGCAAAAACGAAAAACAATAAAACAAACAAACAAAAAAATAAAAACAAGAATTTCTTACGTTCGCTTACATAAAAACAAATAAACGAATAAAGTTTTGAAACTCGGGAGAGTAATATAAAGCCATTTTTTTGGCTCTGTAGTTCAGGAAAAGTTCACAAATGCTGCAAGGTTTAAATACAGAGAATAGGCTAGAATTGTATATTTTAAAAAACATTAAAAAACCCGGCCGGCAAAAAGCATGGACTATAGCCCATGGTTTTGATCGATTTTGGTCCATTTTTACATCTTTTCAAAAAAGATTCGAAGAACATCTTAAACTTTTATATTTTTAATATAAATAGGCGGAAAAAAATACAAAACTAAGGTTTCCTCAAAGTGTCACTACACGATGGCATATTGCTGGTAAAGAAGGTCTCGTATCTTGTAATAGTCATCACAGACAGCCCCCTCCAGGCCTACACGGCCAGTCTCGTTCTGAAATACAACACAAAAGTGAAGATAAGTCTTCTGAAGTCTCCAATGCATCCTTCTTAAAATTGTCGTGAATGCGAGGCTTACACGTATGACACAAAAAATGACACAAATTCTACCGAGAAAAAGTGATTATTTTATATTTTAATGTTAGCCTCGCCTCCTCTATACTTTTGAGAAGGGTCCATCGCAATATCTGTTGCATGAGTCAAAAGATAGTTGTTCACTCATTAATTTTTTTGGGGAAGGGAGGGGTGGGGTTTGGGGCAGTGAGCTCCCTTCCCCATTTTAAGTGCGTTAGAGAGCAGTTTCTTTGTAGTTGAAAGAATCGTCCCTTCGTCTTAGCAATAATACTCAATGCGAGGTCTGAAATTGTTCGGTCTTATTGGCGTCATTTCTTGTCTCGTAAGGGATGTTCATCAGCTGAATCACAAGTTTTCAATAGGATTTCTCCGGGCTGACAGCACATGGGAGTCAGTGAGTGTTTGACAACCAATTGAAGCAAATAATGAGATAGGTGGAACGATCTAGCCGACCATTACTCACCCTTCTGACGCACACCACGTTGTTGCAGATGAGAACACCGCCAGCGAACTCTGCTTGGATGCCAGCCTTATTTAGGACTTGCTTGAAATCTGACAAGCGAGGTTCGTTGATAAACACTGACACGTGACCCGTTACCTGGCAACAAACAGAGTATTATTTGTTTACTTCAAAACATATGCTTGTCACCTTTAATGGCGTGTGATAGCGGCAGTATAGACAGAAAGAAAGACAGACAGACAGACAGACGCGAATGTTTATGAATACGTGTCCATAGTGAAGTAATCACCCGCCTTCCCCACATCAATCTTTCAAAACCAACGTCCAATCAGGTATGCCATCCGAGACTGTGTCCAGTACTTTACCTCTGAATCTAACATAGTACAGATGCTTAAGCTATCCATGATTGGTTCGGCGTTAATCTCCGAAGAGTATATTAATTTTGCTCAATGTAACTTTTGAATAGGCTCATTTTCGGAGAGGGCTCAAAATTTGCGTTAGAAATATACGCTCAGGCAATAGTCCCCTTCACAGTCCCCTGCGCCATCTTGAAAGGTAACCGTGCATCGAAGCGAGAACAACGGCGACCTTTTAATGATAGAGACATGTGAATGACATGTCCAAAGGTCTCTGCACGGGCACGGTTACCTTTCAAGATGGCGCAGGGAACTGTGAAGGGGACTAATTTCGGATTGCAATTTGCGTATCAAAAATCCGTAAAAAGAATAGAATATTTCTCCCTARGAAATAGGAATTTTCCGTACTTCAACAGTACGAAGAAATACGCTCTCCCTCCCTCCTCCCCAATCTCCCTCCCCTTACCTCATCCCCATTCCCTCCTCCCAAAAGCCGCTACGTTAATTATCCCCTTACGTTTGACGAAGAGAGTTGTTCGAGCACTGGAACAGCATCTACTGCATTTTCAATATCTTGGCCAGTTTCCATTTCTTCTTCTCCTTCTTTCTTTAYTTTCTCATTCGTTTGTTCTCCCTCTGTTAACGAGCCGAGATGGGATTGGGACTGGTTCATGTGTAGTTGTCCGTCGACCCATGCTAACTCAGCGTCACGCGCTCGTGAGAACTGTAACGAGCTTACCAGTGCGTCACGCAATTTGACCTGTAAGACAAACGTTTCACTTGAGGTGACCTTCAAAGCTAAGTCAAGACTATCAAATACAGCAGGTGCATGATACGTCATGGCCGCCATCTTGGATGACGATAACAAAGCAATCCTCATTAGCTTCTTTTGTTACAGCAACGACACATGGCGGTTGTTTCATTGTTATTCATATCTCAAGGGATTTTGAGTCACATGGTTGCACAATGCATGATGAACTATGGCCCATAATTTCTTTAGAAAAAACCAGAATGCTTTGCGCCTACATGAAGCATAAGCGAAGAATAAAATAGAATAGGATAGGATAGAATAAAAGAGAACAGAGCAGAACGAAAAGAGCAGAGCAGAGCAAAATAGCAACTTAATTTCATGAGGGAGACACACGACAGTAACTAAAATCGCTGCTAAACTAGACATGCTCCAAGTCTCGCTCGCTATTTTTTTCCGTTGCAAACTCGAAATGAAATAGTGCACTTCCGGTCACGATGGCTTTGAAAGGCGAACGATTTCAAAGCCATCGAAACCGGAAGTGCACTATTTGAATCCGAGTTTGCAACGGAAAAAAATAGCGAGCGAGACTTGAAGCAAGTCTACTGCTAAACCAGTGTGTCAGTCAGAAGAACAAAACCTGATTGACGTGAATCAATCGTTTTTTACCTGATAAATGTGTCTCTCTCCCGTAGCTTCGACAGTCTCGCCAGTCAACGGCATGAACACTTGACTGACTTGAATACTACTGTTGTTCAAACAGTACTCCGCGAGATGTTCAGTAGATTCTGAGTCACCGTGAATAAGAATCTAGAATAAAAAATGGGGAAAAAAAAGGGATACAGACGTAAACACGAAAGATGTGTAAGGAGAAGCACGAAACGTAGGCGAGTATTTCTGACACTTCTTGAGTGCTTACGGCGCTTCCTAAGTGCTTTATCACTGAACGTAGCACGGAAAAAAGCTGTTTTATTCGTTTCTTAATATAGATACTAATCGTATTTTAGTATTGAATAGATTTACGCAAAGAGAAAGAGGGTCACAAGATCTAGCAGCACTTTGCGCGGGCGGATGGCTTCAGCACTGTGCTCCGTTCACTAATAAAACACAGTTTTCGATCAATTAGCGCGCGCGTACTATCCTAACTATATAATAAATTACTTTAACATTTGCTGAAATCCTTTCCACCACGTCTGATTTCCTGGGGAAGATCCAGTGCATTGACAATGATATTTTCTAGAATTTTAATTGGCTGATATTTTTCTAAAGCAATGTGATTGGTCTGGCGTATGCCTTGCTGTGTCAGGACCGTGTTCGTTCCGTGAGCTTTTCACAGTCATACTATTAAGTGTAGACCTACCAGTTTACGGGGATTCACGAGAGTCAGAATACGTTTGATTGACTCGCCATCAGAACGTCCCTCGAAGTCAATGTACTGCAAGCTACATCTGAAAAGGGAAAAGAAGTAAAGGAACTCGATTCTGCAACAAGATTGCAAGTCATGTGCAAAAAAATGGTGCAACAGGGTGTTAAAATGCACAACAGCCCCAATCCACTGATTTTCCCATTTCAGACCACGTGTCAATCCTTACTGAGAATCATTTCTTTGTTTACTGGTTGTGCATGTGCATTCATTCTCTTGAAAATAAGATTCCTCGTTTGAGTTGTATCTATATTCATGTGTCTTCTCATATGCAACCATTAAACAAAGAAATGATACTCTAGAGAGTGCCACGTGGTCTCATGACGCCCAAGATAAAGAGGTTTATTGAATATACTGAGTTCCTTGCCTTGATATCATAATCAACTTACCTGATATTAATGGTTTTATATTCAGTAACACATTTTGTGGGTACTTTAGAAAGGTCTGCTGATGAAGGATAAAATATTTAATTCATAATGACTTTTATTATATAATTACCAATAAAATATCTATTTTTCTCTATTTCGAAAAATTGATATCTTCACACGTGAAAATAACATCACGTGTGAAAATAACACCATTGCGATGGCTATTCAAAAATACACGAAAAGAATTGCCTGAAAAAGCTAAAACATACTTCATTGATAATAATAATATAAACAGAATATTACATGGCCGCTTGGAGATACGAATTTTATCTTCTCGTGTTGAAAATCTCTTCAAGATCTTTTCAACACTCGAAGATAAATTTGGTATCTTCGCGCGCCCATGTAATATCCTCTATGAATTCTAATTTTTAAATGTGTGATAATTAAAATTATTTATAATTATAATTATGACACATTTATTCGAAAGAAAAGGAAAAAAAAAAAAAACGTTTTCAAAAATGATCGAAATCTCCTCACCCTTCCACTTTCTAGACCACAAACTTCCCCACCCCCCTTCCCCCCAAAACGACATGAAAAAAAGAATCCAAACGTTCACTCGTAAAAGCAAGTTAGATGACCAATAATGCTCAAACATAACTATTTCTTTTGACAATAACTAAATGTCAATAGTAAGGGTACGTTTTTGCAATTCTACCCAGCTTATGAAGAACTCCTCCGAGAAAAGACTTTTGTTGGTTCATTGACAGTACATTCATGTTTACCTTGGGATGTAAGCATTTCCACATCAGCTGTCTCTGGCTTCTGCTGGTCCTAACCAATAATAACATAACATATAAGGGATTAAAAAGACTATAAAGTATGAAACAGAGGTGGACTTAAGGTTAAGGATTCATCTTGTCATCACAAGATGAAAAAATACGATCGAGAGGTACTGGAGCGCGAGCGCCTCTGAATTTTAAGGTACAATTTAGGGGATAGTCTCATTAACGCAAGACGAAAAGTACAATCAAGAGGCACTCATACTTTACATTCTCGGCTATTTTATTATCGGTTATAGGATAGCACAGGTAACGTCGCAGGGAGAGCACTCGCATCTCACCAATGCGACCCGGGTTCGGTGTGAGTAGAGTTGCTTGTCGGTTCTCTCCTGTGCTTCGAGGGTTTTGCGGGTTCTCCAGTTTTCCTCCCTCCGCAAAAATCAACTTCTAAATTTCAAATTGAATTTCAGTGAACGAAGAGCGACTTTTTTGGACGTGCCACTGCTAAATCCTATTTATCTATATTGAAGAAATAGAAAACGCGCGCGCGTGCTGTGTGCTGTCATAAAGCACGGAGGGGTTGGCAGAACAGTAGAGAAGTGTTAGGAGAAGCACGACGCGTAGTGGAGTGCTTCTGGACACTTCTCGAGTGTTCTGCCAATCCCCAAGTGCTTTATGACTGCACACAGCACAGCAAGCGAGTTTTTTATTTCTTTTATAAAATGTAAATTACAATAATAGATAGGAATGACGCAACGCAAAGTGCGCGCGCGTGCAATGTGCTCTCATAAAGCACGCGCTCCAAACCAATCAGAACGCGACATTCATAACAGTTATTTTATAATTTATTTTTGTACCTACTGCTTGAAAGACGTAGCTATTGAGTTATCTATGTCTATTATTTGTTTCTCACATAGAAATCCAGGGCAGGAGAAAGGAGGTAACGACCTTCACTCCAGATTTCACTTCAATATAATATTATACTGACTTACGGCTTTAGTTTTTTCATCTTCTGCTGCAGTTAAATCTTTTATCATAAAATCTTCAGGTCTACAAATAAAGTATTAATAATATCCATATTAATGACATAAAGACATGTACATTTCACATCTACTTTTAAGTGTATGAAACGTGCGCGCATGTTTCTGTACTGTGATATAAACACGCTAGGAGTTGTAGAGCACGAGAGAAGTATTGCCAAGCTTAGGAACACGGCCCATAGCTGAGTGTTTTCTTGCTTTTAGAGTGAACAGTACAGAGTAATATGAAGCCACTTTACATTGCTTTTAAAAATGTTTGAACGAATTTGCAAGAGTGTCTCTATCCTCTGATAAAAATATAGTGTCCAGCCAATCAGCTTGCGTATTTAAAAAGTATGATATGATAACCTTTTAAAAAGTATGGTGTGAACTGCAGGCAGAATAGGAGGGGAAGTGGTACACTCGTGGCAAACCTTTTCTGAAGGAATAGCTGTATATTATCAAACTTCCAAAGATTCATGAATAATTAACGAGCATTTTGACCTATCACGTCCTTCAAATCCATCACGTGCATGGATGTTTATAGCTGATAATAGCTCAACATGGATATTTTTATGTAAAGATTTTGGAATCTTTATAAAGAACCAAAGTAGTACAAGAGAATGTCACGAATGAGGACCCTAAATATTCATTAATTATTCATGCATTTTTGAAGTCGTTTAATAAACTCGCAGATCGTGTTTTATCAGGTCTAAAACCATGAGGCACTCGTTCATTAAACTATACATAAACAAAATTCTCAGAGCAAGGAGCTGTTTATTACAAATGTTTTCTTACTTGATAAACTCCCCATAATCATCCCATTTAACCTTCTCTTCATGACAAGGAAACATTGGATAAGATCTTGCCTGCTTGAAGAAAGAACTTTTACGACTGCCCTAAACACAAATGAACACGGAAACACAATAAGACATAGTTGAATAACAAGTGCTATTAATCTTCAAATCATAAAATAAAATGTTTTGAAATCCTTCTCAAAATTGAATGTGGCTTAATTTAAAGGGCTG